TTTGTTAAAGTTTTAGTTTTCCTAAGAAAAGCTATTCTCGTTTTCACCCCTGAGGATATTGATTTTTGTTTTTCTCCTTTATGGAGTTCCATACGTTACAAAATAAGCAGAGGTTAACAACCTTCAGCTTGTAAAAAATTGTTTGCACGGCATTTTTCGGAATTACAAAATATAGTTTAAATACATTACTTGCGAAAAATGTGACCGGTCATAAAAATTAACATATCTCGACTGGCTCAGGATAAACAGACGATTAAAGCTAGAAATTACTCAGAAGATTTAAGGCTATAACACCGTTTACTTTTGTTCTATCTGTATGTGTGTATGTATGTTCTACCCGATATTGCCCGCAGACGGATTTAAACTATGACCAACGAAACTATTTAAACACCGTGTACAACATGTTTGTTACATTTTTTCCGCTATCTTCTAACTTAAATTTCGTCCAATAATGGAGCTATGATTTTAGGAAAAAATCTTGAAATCGGATCAGCGGTTGTGAAAATATTCACATTCAAAGATTAAGAAATATTTAAGCAATGCGTCAAATTAACCTGTTAAAAATCAGTTCTTTGTGTGAACTCTAAATTCGAGAGGACGGACTTTCATATTTTCTGAAAGAAAGCAAATATGCAATTTTAGACAACTCGTTACCCTCTAATTGAAAATTTGAAGCGAGTACAACCTGCATATTATCCTAACTATTATCTTTATATTATTTTACCCGTTATTATTACAATAATTTGTCAACTAATAATGATACATTTTATTTTGATTTGTTTTTCTGACTGCGTGTAATTGTTATTATATTCTGTTCCTTCCAGGGTTTCAGTCAGTGTGAAATAAAAATTGTTATATTAAAAAAAAGGCATTTCCCAATTATGAGGTAAGTTTTTCAAATGTTTTGTTCTCCCAAAAAGAACGGTTTTTTGTTCCTCAAGGACTAATGTTTAACGCTTTATAAATTATACCTTTTGTACAACATATATTTTAATTGTAAATTGTTGTTTGTAGTTTGTATGAATTTTAAATCTGATGATGGCGCTGTTGTCTCGTCGAAACGATATGAAATAAAATATATAAAAAAAATATTTCACATTTTGACTGAAACCTTTGAACTGGAAGGAAAAGAATATAATAACAATAATTTTATTTGAGAAAAAATTATAAAACCTAATTGAGATGATTAATTATCGGAAAGTGTATCTACGATTAGCGGTAACATACACATTTAATTACACCTTTGCAATTTTAAAATGATTGATATGGTAATTTAGTATGAACTAGTAATCTAAAAACTGAATTCCGCATTTTTTTTATGTGTTTCTGGTCAAAGTTAACGTCGCTTGCTTGATCTGTTTGAAAATGTCACCTTGCACATTGAACAATCAAGATAACAAGGAGAATCATTGTAAAGACCTGAATTGTGGTATTTTGATTTATTGAAGTTTTCAGTAGATCAAGAATTTTCTCGATAAAGTGTATGGAAGATTGAAAGTGAAGAAAGATAATCAGAATATCTTGCTTTTTTGTTTGTTCGTTCAAAAACGTCTAAAACAGATGTCTGTGTCTAAGGGAAAAATTGTGGGTGAAGTTTTTGCCGATAAAGTTTGGGATATCATATGGTTTTTATTAAAGAATTAAATTTTCTCGGTATCAATGATCCGAACAAGAAATTATGTAAAAAGATATCTTGCAAATTGTGAGGTTCACCAACCTCAGGCACCCCCAGGAGCGGTTGCGAGTCTATTAGCTCTATCGAGAGTTAATAGACGGCGAACGGCTATCTCCATTGTTTCATCAAAATATGAGTCTTACATAAGAACAAATTCACAGCGAGTTTCACTAAAATACATCGGACAATTCTCCCGATATTTCGGAAAAGATAAATTTTTTGAAGAACTTTGGCCATCAATAGCAGAGGAGCCAGACATTTTTTGCTAATAAAAGTTAGATCAGATCGTCTTCTTTTGGTCCAAAGAATATCGCAGTACCCTTTTGATCATAAGCTTACGGGACACTCTGGATAATCTAATTCAATTTTTGGGAAAATAAGATTAACAAAGAGAAAACGTGTCTTCTATTGTGCTAAGTAGGTTGAATTACAACCAGAAAATCCTGCTTTTTATTCAGCTTAATTAAATAAACAACGCAATAACATTAAAAAATGGGAAGTACACAATTAGTTATAAATTAATTGCGCATTATTCGTGTAATGAGACATACAAAGTTATTAAATTCCTTAATGTCTATTAATTCGCAATTCAGGCAGGGTCCAATTATGTTGAAATTATCAGTATTTCCTTTGGCATTGAGTCACATCGCATTACAAATATTTTCCATGTTTTATCTAATTATGTACAAAACAAGCGCTTTCCTTTGTTTGATGTTTCACACTTGCTTTGTATTTATCACATGAACATTGGTGAATCTATCCGATAAATAGGTTTTTAATT